GAGCTGCTATCGCACTGCAAACGGAATCGGCTTTGGAAGAAAAGGGGACGATGGGGAAGGAAAAAGGAATGGGGCTGAGGGGGGGGGGAAAGGAAGGGGGAGAAAAAGAGGAAAAGGAAAACAAAAAAGGGGGACGGGGCGAAAAGGGAGATGGGTTGGAAAAGTGGTAAAGGGGGGGTAATGGGAAGTGGGGATGGGGGCAAAAAGAAGCAGAAGGGGGCGAAGAAGAGGAGAGTAAAGGGGGCAAAAGGGAAAGGAAGACAAGAGGGAAAGGGGAAAAGAAGAATGAGAAAGGGAGGAAAAAGAAAAGGAGATGAGGAGGAGAAACGGAGAGAGGAGAAAAGGGGGAAAAATGGGCAAAAATGGGGAGATAAAAGGGGGGAAGGGAGAGTAAAAAGGGGACCAGGAAGGAAAGAACAGGACATGAGAACAAGGAAAAGGAAAGGGGGAAAATCGGCCAGAGGAAGGCAAAGAGAAAGGCTGGGAGAAGGCGGGGCAAAGACGGGGGAGAAAGAGGATGCAGAAAGAGGGGGGAGAAATAGGGTGGAGAAAGAGGGCGGGGAAAGATCTATCACCAGTAGTACTCTCTAAACCATGTTCCTCAACACAAACTGCAACCATTCCTTGAAGACCTCCAGGGTCGATGATTCTGGCATTTGGTCTTGTTGAACCTCATCCAATTGGGTTCAGCCCAGCTCTCCAGCCTGTCCAGATCCCTCTGTAGGGCATCGCTACCCCCAGGCAGATCGACCCTTCCAGCCAACTTGGTGCCATTCACAAACTTCCTGAGTGTGCACTCAATGCCCTCATCCAGGTCATCAATAAGGATATAGAAGAGGACAGGCCCCAGCCCTGGGGAATAGCACTCGTGACAGCTCACCAGCTGCATTTAGCTCCATTCACCACTGCTCCTTTTAGTCGTGTGTTCTCCACAGGCACATCCCATTGTGTGGTACATTTCCTCCCATAATCCTGAAGAAACAAAGAACAATGACTGTGTACCAGAATGTACTCATTCAGGGAACTGTGAAAGAACAGAAATACCTACTTGTAAGGTATTAATATATTTCATGAAGCAAAACATTTATTTAGCCTGTTAATTCAGTGTCTCAAAGGAGACCTATAGAAAGCGTTGCAAGAATCTAAACTCTGAAACATACAATTGTGTATGGAGTAAAATATTCCCTCATTCATGCAGTTTAGCAAAACAAAAATCTGTCCTACACGTGCAAATTGGATGAACCAGAGAATTACAAAGCCCAGTTTTTTAGCAGTGCTTGGTGAAGTCTCATACTTTAAGTGCTGGAATACTTTGGAGTATTCCTTAGTAATCAGTCCTTTTTTTCAACAACTGCAGCAATACACAGCATAACTATGAAGTGATAAAATGATTGAGTTCAAACAAGTCAGCAAAGGGTTGTCTGATCTGAACATCTGCAAGGTCTTTGATGTGGTCTCATTTCACAACCTTATCTCTACACTGGATTCAAAGGGTGAACTATTTGGTGGATAAGGAATTGATTCAAAAGTCACAGCCTGTGGGTTGTGGTCAACAGGTGGAGGCTGGTGAGGAGTAGCGACTTCCAGTAGTATCTCTTGGGAGTAGTGCTCTTTAACAACTTTATTAATAGACATAGATGATGGGATCAAGTGCACCCTCAGCAAGTTTGCAGACAACATCAAGTTAAGTGGTACAGGTGATATAACAGAAGAAAGGGATGCCACCTGGAAGGATTTGAACAGGCTTGAAAATTTTTCCCACAAGAAAGTAATGATGTTCAGCAAGATCAAGTGTGAAGTGTTGCACTTGGTCTGTTGCTGTCCCAGACGCACATACAGACTGGGAAAACTCTTTGAGAGCAACCCTACTGAGAAGGACTTAGGGGTCCTGGTAGATGGAAAAGATAACCTGAGCCAGCAATTTGTACTTAAGGCCTGGAAGGCCAACAGTATCCTGGGCTGCATCAAAGGAGAGATGGCCAGCAGTGCAAGGAAGGTGATTGTTCCCCCCATTTTGTCCTTGTGAGGTCCCATCTGGAGTATTGTCTTCAGGCCTGAGACCCTCCACAAAGAGAAGATGTAGAGCTTTTGAAATGGGTCCAGAGGAGGGCCAGGAAGGCAATCAGAGGGATGGAGCACCACTCCTACAAAGAAAGGCTGAGGGACCTTGGCTTGTTCAACCCGGAGAAGAAAAGGCTGAGGGCAGACTTTGTTGTTGTGGCCTTCCAATACTCAAATGGAGCTTATTAGCAGGAGTGGAATTCAAATTTCACATGGATGAACAGCGATAGAGCAATGGGGAACCGTTTTAAACTAAAAGAAGGGAGATTCATATTAGATGTCGGGGAACTATTTCATTGAGAGAGTGGTGAGCTGCTGGAACAGGCTGCCCAGAAAAGTTGTGTTTCATATCACTTTTTTGGTTGTATGGGAACTGCTGAATCACGGCCTGAACCTCTGGTTGATCATCTGAGGTGAGCAATGAGTCAGCCACGGGAACACAGGTGAAGGCAATTCAGCTGTGCTGTGGGAAGGGATGGAGCCTGGCTCCACCTCTCCGAGGCCCATTTAAGAGCTGACTGCCAGTGGGGAAAGATCTCTTCTGGAGATCCATTCCACTGGAGTTTTGTAAGCAAGCCCAGGATGTCGGTAAGACTTCTATCTTTTCTGCTTTGGTGTAATAACTGCATAGCCAAGCCCTTTGGTACATTTCATAGCTATAGCATCTGTACTTTCATTGATTGTACATATGTACATTTGTGAAAAATTATTCTCAAAGGTGAAGCACCGGAAGAGTAATATTTCATCAAAAATTGCTGGTGAACACCTTGAGAACTCACTAGGAGTGGCAACCGCTGCTACTGAACAAACCTGATGTATCAATTTCACAAAAGCAAGGTCTAACATCCCACTGTTTTTTGTTGTTCCCTGTTTTTCATGTTTTTACAAAAATATGTAAAACGTGCATTTTATTATAGATTTTATATGCAGCCCATGACAATTCCCGTTACTCTGTGCAGCCCAGCTAAGCCAAAATGTTGGACAACCATGCTCTAGGTTAATAAAGGACAATAAGAAAACCCTGATCTTAGGATGATCAAGTATTGTTGTAAACTATGGAAACTGTACATGTTTTGTTTTGTTTTGTTTTACATATACTGTAGAAAAGCAGTTTACAGTGTGTATCTAATTACTGGCCAAAGGGAATAGAACCTTGTATGTACCATGTGGGAACTCATCTAAAACATGAAAAGAACTTCCCGGAGGATAAACTAGTGGGGGGGAAAAAAAAAAAAAAAAAAAAAAAAAAAAAAAACTATTATCTTTTGCAAAGGGAAAAAAGCATGAGAAGTCTCTGTCCTACATATAGTAAATGTGCTGCCCACCTGTGTCCCAGTTTTTGCACATAAGATAACCTCTAGCTTTAACTTTGAATCCTGTGTATTCTGAACTACAGGCAAAGTCTCAACCAGTTGTAGAGCAAAGGAAAGTAATGACAGAGCCTTTATTTGAGAAATAGGTACCATAGGAAAAGATATCCAAGAGGAATTAACTCACCCCTCCTGGTAACAGTTTAGAGAAAAGGGTGAGCGGAGGAATGTGACCCTATCTCGTTCGTACCATTGGGCTGCAGCAGAGAATGGCAGGGGGAATGGGGACCTGTGCAGACTCAGATGGGACCTGAAATATCATGCAGACAGAGGGGTGGCTCACTCCAGATACTCATGTACTCGTGAAGCTCACCCACTGGTTCAGGATGAGACCTTGAAATTCCACTATAACAGTTAAATATGCAAACACTGGCAGTGTTCTTGAACAGAAAAATTAGGAAGATTTCTTTATTTAACTTCAGTACAGGATCTGTTCTTCCAGTTCAAATCCTTTTGAACTTTTGATCCTTTGTCATTTGCTTGTGGCAGAACAGAACTCCTGGGAGAACCAACTCAATAGCAAGAAGCAGATCAGATGAGGTTCCTTCTGCATCTGCCTGGGACACTGGCAGCAGTGCTGAAGACACTCAGACAGCAGTTAAAATTCAAAACATGAAAATAAGAATTAAGTCTTTACAAAAATTTTTGTCACTAAATTCAGAAAATTATTCTCAAACCTCTACGACAAGAATATTTTCACTTTGTGATCAATAAAACATGCAGCAAACACTGACTCCTTTCACTGTGCCTCAGGTCTTTTCTAACACTGTAAGTGAGGCACAGATCTTATATTTCTCAGGAAGAGAAAGGAGTTACAGCTGTACCCAAACCTAGAAAAGGCTTTGGCTAGTAAAATTCCTCCTACCATGTATGTGTGGATTAATAGATTTCAGAGAGAGATTTTAAAGAAAAACAGTGTATTTTATGGAATGATACTACTTCAAGAGTATATCAGTCACTTTCGTCAGCTGTAGTGTCACACCATAGGTAAAAACAAAGACCCATCTGCAGAGCAAAATCGAGATTAAGTGAAAAAGTTTATTGGATTGTTTTAATACTGAAATTCCATTTAGCTTTTAGTTGTTTATAAAATACTTCAGTTAATCATGTTTGAAACGTGATATTTCTATAGAAGAATGCAGAAGTGAATAAGCTTGAAACGTCACTGAGGGAGATGACAACATGTCGGGACAACCTCAAAGAAGCAAACGAATCCTTAAGAAAACAGGCAAGAGGAATTATTTTGTACAATCAGTTACTGTGTCTGAGTTAACTGTGTACTGAGTACTGTATACTGAGTTAACACTGCTAATTATCTGAATGGGATGTTTGCAAAAATTGATGATTTGGTTTCTCCAATACAGGGATGGTGTGATTGCGTATAAATACTCTCACCTTCTCTGTTTCTGAATTCTTTAGGCATTTTTGGAGTGTGTTCTTTTTCGTCACTTCTTTATGAAAAGAGAAGCGCAGTTGTTTATTAAATCACTTTGCTGCTCAGTAACTCTGATTTCAGAGTGTTGTTTACAAAAAAAAAAAAAAAAAAGTGTTTTCCATTCACTGATATTTTAGTATTTTTCAATTTTTTCAGTTAAATGATGAGATTGTAGAGAAGAAGTAATTGAATGAACAAAAAAAGGACAGGAAAAGTTTGTTTCAGCTATCTGGAAGTAAGGTTTTTTCTTATTTTGCGTGCTTCCTTTGTAGGTAACAAGTAAAATATAATTCACGGTTCTTTTTTGTTGTAGTGGAAACATCAGTTTATAATGGCAGAGATGTATAAGGATACCTGTGAAGTGGCACAACAGATGACACCTTTCATGCAGGAAGAAGTGAGGGCAGCATCAAAAGGGAATAAGGTAAGAATTGGGCAAGGTGAAAAAATCACTCACAAAAGCCATTCAACAGTGGAGCCTTCTCCATACAGCTGTTGAAATAAGAAAACGTAGCTGCTACCTTTTTTCGTTCTAATAGTTAATTAGTTACTGTGGGCGGTACTCGGTGTGGGTGGTACGTGGGCTAAGGTGTTGTGAGCTGGGCTGGGATTGTGTGGAGGTTTGCAACAGTTAAAGAATAGAGGAGGGCAGATAGTAAGTGGAAAGAATAAAGATTGTTGCTAAAATTGTCCTTGGAATTTTATATTGTGTATCTACTTTTTATTTGTTTCCTGTGTTTTCCTCTCACCTTCTCTCTCATCTGTCAAAATTAGACTCTGCTTATACTCCTCCTTTGTGGTTATCCATGCTGCTGTCTAGTTTGCTTACAAGAGAAGATCTCTACTAACTAAACAAGTTCACAGGAGAACTCTCTGCTGCCCTTGGCACAAAGACAGGTCCGTGCAGGTTGTAGCATGGTCACCCGCACCAGTGGGAGCTGTCTGCAGACTCCTTTTAACAAGGAGCTGCCTGTATTTCTCCAATAGCCAGCGGGGGCTTCTCAATCCCTGGATACAAGGCCCAGCAGAGCAGGCACGGCCTGTTCCACATTACTGTTTCTGCAGAGATAATGTCTTCTATGGGCTCTCGGTAACTTCTGTCCTGAGCTTTGTCTCATTAACCATTAAATGATGCAGGATTTGTCAGAACTAATGTGCTCTGGCGTGCATGTCTGTCTGCTATTGTTTTGGTTTAGAAGATCATCAAGGTGAAAGCTGAAATAACTGATGATGTGAATATATTACAGCTACCACCGAACTCTGAAGTTTATGGGCTCCTGACTGTCCTTATGGATTGGATCTTAGATGAGCTCCTTAGCAAACTCAAGAAACAAGAAGAAAGACAGGAAGGCCAGAAACCTCAGTGTAGCGGAAGAACCTACATCCAGGAAAGTGTTTGAAGGTAAAGGGACTTGAGTTTGATCTGGTTCATGTGTTTTCAGATTCACATATATACTGACTGATTTTATTGTGAGAGTAGAAAAGGTCAGCCTGTTTTGTATAGACCTGGGATAGAGCAATGAAAGCAGAATGACAGTTACTAAGTCAGTATTAATCCCAGCAGTCAGATGGAATGGCTGCATTGTCACTTATAAAACAGAGCCGTCGTTTTGAAGGAGAAGTGTCGTGTTCAGTCTCAACTTGCAAGTTTCAGCCTGTCTTTTATTACCTGTGGTTTATGCCAGCTGGTGATTTATCTTGTATGTTGTGTGTAACACTGTATAGAATTCATGTTTTCCTACAGAGATTGTCACATCTAATTAAAAATGTTTTAATGTCTACGTTGGATGTCAAAGTTTCAGATAATGACTCATAACAGATGATGCTATGTTCTACTGAAAGCCCTTCCTTCCATCTCTCTGGGGATAACAAAGCTTGGAAACCAATGTGGTATTCAGGAGTTCTTTATTGCTTTCCTTCATTCTGTGCAGAGTTTGTAAGTACTGGCATTGGCCTTGATAGTTGAGTTCACACACCGTACCTCTGCTTTGCATGCAAACCTGAGTAAAACTTAAAATCTAAGTAAGGAGGTAATTCTTTTATCTCTAGAGGACCTGACCAGTGAGTGTTTGCACATGCAATCTGACAAACTTCAGGAGTAATTTGAGATCTTGGTTTGGTTTGTTTGGGTTTGGTTTTTGGAGTCTTGTTTTCACTTGTAGACTGCTCACATGCTAAGCTGACATTCTGCATGTAACTTTGCCTTTGTGTGTTTTTACAGCTTCTGCCTGTGGCTGCGGAGCAGCTCCAGTGCATGTCGTTTGTGAATCCTAAACTGCACATGCCCCTGATGAGACTGATACACTGGTTTGTAAGGCAGCTAGACAATGATACTAAGGTAAATTCTCTGCAGATAGTCAGGCATTTTGTATTTTAAGTACACATAGACAGTGGACATTTTCAGGGTGTATGTATAATAGAAAGCTGGCTGTCTTTGCTAAACATCAATTTGTAACAGAGAAATGGAAAAGTATGGCAAAAAAAAACTTCTCATAAATGGAACTTCCTGAGATCATTTTATTTTTTTGCACAGTCTATGAAAACATATTTTTATGTACATATGCAATCGCTGTTGCAGTAGTGTCTAAGCATCTCAGGAAATACATTTTTATAAATGTGCTTAGCAGAGTTGGCAGTTAGGAAAGGAAACACATTTTTGTTCACTTCATGTGCGAGATTAGCTGAAATTGATGGCAAAGTGTGGCAGAGCAGCATGGGAACTTTGGCTTTGTCCTCTGCTTAATGTCCCACTGAATTTATTGTTTTTCTTGACAAGGAGAAGCTATTTTAAATGATCACAGTGTAAAGTTTGACTCTGAAGTAATATTTCTGCACAGTTTGTGATGAAAATTTGAATTACTGTACCTTCCCTGAATGGTGTTCTGAACATTCATGTTTAGATCTGCAAATGCTTTTGCAGCTCGTGACTTCAGGCATCTGCACAGGGCAGCGTAGGTAGCACTGACTGAAATGGGGTTTCCTCTGCAAGCAGAGGCAGTTCAAATAAAGTCAGCATATCACGGGCCCTCTTTCCCTAGTCTCTTTGTGCAGTTAGTGTTGAAAAGGCCCTGTGCTGACGGCATTCAGTTGCTTTTGTAATGCAAGCAGTATCTTCTGTGCGGATTCTGTTGTGACACACGATCGAACAATTTGGTATTTCACACGTAATCCTTAGGGGAACTTAGATGGGAGCTTCGTGTGGTTTCATGTTTACACTCAACATGCGCACTGTTTGATTCAGGACCCAACAATGGCAGAAATGATTATGAGACTTGCTGAAGATATTTTCACAGGCATAAGGAATAATGGAGATGTGCACAGTTCTTCCAGCCGCTGTGCAAAGAGTGAATCAAAATCAGCACTCTTCTTCACAAGTCCCTTTATGCCTTTGAGGTTTCTGTCAACTATGGTTGTGTTTACAATAGAGACACCAGGTAAGCTCTGGGTTTTACTGAATCTTTTCATTATGATTCTATGATTCTGTGATTTTTTGATCCCTTTTAGTTTTTCCTTTTAGTTTCTCTCATCTGTATTTTTTTTCCAGGCGTGTACCTGGACAAAGTCCAGCAGTTCCATGATACCATAGTGTCCATGATGCTTTCCTAGTGAAGGGAGTTTCACTTGCATGATACTTCCTTGTACAGCCAAATGCACTGAAACAAATACGAACCTTGCTATTATTCATTTCATGTTGTAATTTCTGTGGCCATTGTAATACAATTTATTTTAATCAGAGAGATGGCCAAAGTGATAAAGGAGAACACAGATGATGGTAATTGTTTCAAGCAGGTGCTACAGCAGTAGCCAAGATCTTTAGTGCGTATAATGGTACAGCATTTCCTCTTCTGTCAAGTGAAAAAAGTAGCACATTTCAACTGGTTCTAGAATATCACTGTCCTCTTTAAGCTGGTAGATTCCTTCCCTTGAAAGGCTGGTCAGCTGCAGTGCCAAGCATTTCTTTTCTGGTATAGTTAGCTATAAAGTTCTACTTCTGCCGTTATAGATCCATGGACAGATAGATCACATAGATGTGTGGTGTTCATGGGTATGTCTGAGAAAACCAGGGGTGGAATAGCACATTGGGCTTCAACATATATCCTGCTTTCCTCGAGATGTCAGTCTCAGCAGATGGCACTGTAATTAAACTTTTGCCACTGGATAAACTTTTTTCCTTTGTACTTTACCAGGTGATCAGTACTATTCCAAGATACTGAGAAAGATTTCACATCAGGAGATTAAGAAGATTTGATTGTTTCCCTTGACCTAATATCTTTGCATCGTTTAGTGCACTGCAGAACGAATGGATGGCTGCATGAAATACATGCAGCAAAAGTTAAACTACAGCTTTGGATGGAAACGAATGGCAGTAGCTGCTGTCCTGAAAGTCATGGCTCTTATTCAGATGAATGACTCTTTACTCCCTCAACAGAGGCTTCCCAGATGTTGAAACCTACATGGTCTGAAACTATCCAGTTTGCAACTTCTTTTCACTCTTAAGGAAGATACTGGAAAGGTTTTGTGTTTTCTTTGGTGTGCAAATTGTAGCTGGCCTTTTTGTCCACTCCCAACTGTTTTTTAAGGAAGAAGATGAGGCAGAGGATGTCTTTAAGGTTAGAAACATTCATCATCATTTCAGCCATTTGACTTTTTTTTTGGTGGTATATATTTAAGTAATTCTGAGGATAAATATTCACATATTGCTTATCAGAACTGTGACTGTAGAAATTGTATTGCTTGTTTTCTACTCTCTTTCAGTAAACTACCTGGAGCAGGCATTCTGCTGTGATACTGAGATCAGTTTTATAGCAGACCCCCACTTGCCTCAGATCAGGTGCGTGTCCATACCAACAGAGGTACCTCAGAACTGGCTGCTGCTCACACATATTTCTAAAAAGCAAAAGCTTTCACAAACGATACAGAAACCTACCACAGCTCAAGGAGACGCTGCAGAACCACCTCTATGAGAGACCTCTGTGGGCTCATCTGCTGAACCCATCAGGAAACATCTCAGCCAGCTGCAAATGGCATTCCCCAGGCCTGCTGCGCTGTGCCAAAGGCTGCACAGTCTTTACCAATTCTGATTTCAGATTTACCTTAAACTTGGATTCTGCTTTTTGGGACATGTCTGGTTTTGTGTTCCTTCAGCTCAGAGGGGTTACCCTGACATCTGCAAGACCCATTGTTTTGGGATTTGCTGCTGTTCCCAGGGAGTCATGCAGCATCGCAGCAGCTAAGCTCCAGTCCCTTCCCCAGTCTCAGTGGGATCAGTCCCTGTGCTGACAGAACTAACTCCACTGTGGTGCAGAAAGTGCCGCTCCTTTATTCCTTACAACATGCACCAGGTGACATGACAAGCAAGCGACAAGCAAGCGCACCCTCTCAGAGTTCAGGATCTACATTTGAACAGTTCTGACATGCATATGCAGTTCGTTGGCATACAAATCCATTCTTTTTCAAGGACTCAGATATGTGCTAATGTGCCTTTGGATGCCCAGTGCTACCTAGGGTGGTTGACTGCCCACCTATTATTTCCCATTTCCCGCTATCAGCTTTACTATGGGACTTCTGACCCACTGCCATCCACTTTCCCCATTTGGAAGATTCCCATTGATTTTTAGGACACAGTGAGACACTTTTCAACAACAGTGCATGTGGAGTCCGAGGGAAATGTCCTTGCATCGCTTGAGGCAAAAGATATATTATTCTATTATGTCCCCAGCACAAAATTATTGAGGAAAACAAGATATTCGCCCACTCAAGCTGAAATGTAAAGGTTTCAGAACTATCAGTTGTGGATTCCTTTTGCTAAACTAGCATACAGGTTCTTAAACTAATGTACTAATCCTATTGGTAAACAAACCAACTTATATCAGCAGAGAGTGGAACAATTCAGATGTTTGCTCTGTTATCTCTTTTGTCTTAAGCTTCTTCTATGGAGGTTGTGGCATTATGAGCAGTAATACATTACCCTCTGGTTAGATCTAACATGCCACGTGCACTCTGCTAAGTCTTGAGTAACAGCACATCAAGCAGTAACTGCTGTTGCAATGCCACTTTCAGTACTTGCGGCTCTTGTGAGTTTAACTCTTCAAAAGCATGTCTCGTCTAATTTGACAACATGTGGACTTGCTAGGTAGTGTTTTCAAAGACCTTTTGATGTTTTGCCCAGACCATATCTAGAGCAAATATGTTCTCTCATATCATAGAGATTTTCTGTCCGGCGGTCATCTCTGAACTGAACTAACACTCAATTTGGGCAGAGTTTTTACAGATTACTGTACCACACTGCAACTCTGCACGTTGCTCTAAGGTTAAATACGAATAGAATTTTCCACTTGACCATCTCCAAAGCAGTCCAAATGGTTCAGAATAAAAACTGATTTGGCCAGTTCACATATTGATACAGTCTACAGAATTTTCAGAGAGCAGTGTGTGTAGGATAGCCCACAATATAAACTACAAGAGGGGCAACCCCAGCACATACACACCTCTTATCAAAGCTTAGACGCTTTCCATCAACCATGTGTAGAATGGAACTCATGGACTGGTGTAACAATTAATGACTCCATGATACTACATCACGTTGCAAAGGGCTTGATGATGGGTTTCTTCTGTGACCACATTTAATGGATAGTAGATAGGTCCGTAAGTTCATTTCCCAGTCTGTTAGGCAGTTGGATATACCATGGAGGAGTCACACGCAAATCATCATCAGGTTGATAAAGGGAGCGAACGAAGGGGTAAAAAGGAATGGTACCACAGTACAGGGAGTGCTGGTGAGCCAGGATGACCTGCAAAACTTGTTTGTGTTGACCCAAGTGTGAAGTTTAACAAATCTGAGAACTGACATCACCACCTACAACCACCCAAACAAAATACTATTAAGAAGCACACTCTGGGAAGCAATCAACGACAAAGCCAGCTGCCAAGGGTTAATGCTTGGCATGTGAATTCCGATGAAATAAGATGGGAGTCTGGGTTGGTTGGGTTTTTTGTTTGGTTGTTTGGTTGATTTTTTCCTTTGTGTGTGATTTCATAAGTTTGTTTTTTAAATAATCCTCACTTTCTTTAAAAAATAATTTAAGAATTACCTCAAGCTTCAACTTTTTCAGGCATGGCACTATTGAACTTCCGACTCCAGATAAGCTTATTTTAGCATTTTTATTTCACAACTCCAAGAATAGCACAATTCTAGTCTAAGAATTATTCCTTTTGCACTACTGTTGGGGAAAAAAAAAAAAAAAAGAAGAAGAAGAAGAAGAAAGAAAATGCTTTATCAGTAGAAATTCCTCAATTACATTCCAAAAGGGAATTTCACAGTCACTAAACATTTGCTCAGATCCTCTTGATATATCTCATAAAGAAGGATCGTTGGGACCCAGCTCCATTCTAGGTATTTCCATTAGTCTACTTGTGGCCCTGTTTTGCTTGCTTGTGACTCACGCTTTGAAGAATTTGCTTTTTCAAAGTGCCATACCTGGGCTTCAGAGATGCTCTGCTCAGGAAAACACATTTCCATTTCAAGAACAAACACTCTCATCTTTTTAAGTTTAATAAAAGCTTTAAAACCCAATGAGATGAGAAAAGCAATGCAAACTGTAGCAACACAGTAACGCCAGGGTGCAGATTATCTCCAAACATCAAGATTTCATGGGCTCATTTCTTGTTGACAGTACAATGCTCATACATTTCTTAAAATCTAACCAACCAGCTTTCCCTCAATCCTGCAAAAATGCATGCACAGATTGATCTACAACCTCATTTCATCTAATGGATATTCTAAGGAAAACCAGGCCTTTATTTTTATCCAGTTGCATGTCAGGGGGATCAGAACACCTGCCTATGGTAAAATACCACACAACATGCAGCGATAATGCCCAGCCTGTCTGCCACAGAGACTCTTGCAACCTTCTTCCCTGGTGGTCACTTTGCAAATACTCTGGACTGTTTGTTGCTGTAAAGAAACTGCAACAAAACCAGTGCATCCTGAAACCATCAGATCTATTGGGAACCTGCTGAGCTGGGACTTCTCCAGGAAAGGTGGTGGCCAGGAAACACCAGCATCTGAGCAGCTATTTCATTTGGCCCGTGCTCCCTGCATCTTGCCCAGAGGGCTCTCCAGCAAGGAGCAGCAGGGAGTAGAAAGGAAGTTGAGTTGGTCAAATTTCTTGAAATGATACCGTATAATAAATACGTATCAAACTTCTAAATCTTGTTTTACCGACAAACTTTATTATCACTAGGCTGTCACGTGAAGAAAAACACCTTAGATTAGCTTTCAAGTACTCACTGGCATTAAAGTTGTTCCTCTTCATGTAAATCCTTTGAAGGTCCTGAGGCAAACACAGGAGCAAAAACATATAAATAAGAGAACCAAAGCAGCTCATGGAGTGGCACTGCAGACTGCTGCTCAGGCCAGCTCCCGTACACCCTTCCCATGCAGCGCAGTGAGGCTTCTCACAAGGAAATCAGCCTTCCAAAATGCACAGGAAATCAACAGAACAGAAAGGTCAGCCACAAAATTCAGCAGTTGCTGGAAGCAGAGTTGTCTTATTTTTCACAATTGCTTAAAATGACATACATTGCTCTTCACACATGTCCAGTGATGGTGACTTACGAGGAATACAGGAGCATCAGCAATCACACCCAGCCCATGGTGTTGAGTGGAACAGCCAAGGGCAAAGCAGAGGCTGGGGCAGTGTGACAGCTCATCCTTGAGGGGACTGAGGACTTCCCTCACAATTTTCCACAAGTTAACTGCACAGAAAGGAGCAAACAAGTGAAGGAAGCCAAGCAGTATTTTATTGACTCCCACAAGACAGATATGGATTGCATACAACCCTGGAAAACTTCTTACTTTTTAAAATCCTGGAATTATAAATGAGAGAACTCATTCCTCATAAATAACCTGGCACCATTCCTTCATCAAAAGATTGTGACATGGAACAGATTTCCTTTACAGTTTCATTAAAATTATTCATTTGAACAGCTTAAAAAACTATGTCTATAATAATACTTAAATATATTGCTCATATTTGTGACTTAATAAAAAAAATAGTTTGAGCTAATACTTTCCTAGTGTTCAAAAAAATCCAAAGAGAGATCAACGTCTCATTGAGTAATTGAGAAAGATGGGTAAAAGTTATTTGTTTGAAATTATAAACAGACCTCATTTATCAACAGACCAAGTCCCTTAAAAATGTGTGTCTCACTTATTAATGCTAATGATCCCACAAAAATGCACACAGAGCAACCAGCTTTCCTTCAATCCTGCAAAATATATGCACGGATTTATTTACAGCCATAAAGGCATTTCTGCAACATTCACAAGATGGGACTGATCTTAATAGTAACGCCCAAGCATTTGCAAATTCTGACCAAAAATCGTTTGATTACTTTTAGCTTTAGAATAAGTCAGTCTGAACCTCAGTGAAATGACAATGGCAAAGGCCCAGACTGCATTCAGAAACTGTTGCCCTCCTGCTTCGTGGAGCTGGCAGAGGCCATGAGAGCACTCCCGGTTGTAATGCAGAAACAGACAGTACAGCTTAAGCTGCCAACAAAGCTGAATCAACACAGCCTGTCTACTACAGCGCACATTTGTTCCACTGGCACCTGGAAAACTTGGTAGCCTCTGGAAGCATCAGTCTTTTCTGAAGGGATCCGTGGATTTGCTTGCCTTCCTGCAGTGCTTGCTATTATCCGTACTACCATCAAAAGCACACCAATTGCATTTCCACGCACCACTGCCAAGACACTAATCCAGAGGCTGAAACTAACACACTAGTGATTTATCAGGCCTGACCTTTTTTGAAGTTGAAATAGGGTTCCTACTTGGGAAATAACAAAGCAGCATGTCTCCTTGACGTTCATGATAGGCCAGAAGTGCTTTCTACAAAGTCTCCAGTGGTCCAAGTAGTCGGTAACCCCCCAAGAGATGCTTGGTCTGAGGTATGGTAACTTCAGTGACAGCTTCAGAAGGCAAAGGCTTTAGCCATAGGGCTGGCTGAAGAATTCCTCTGCTCCACTTCACTTCCCCCACAAATGTGCCAACACAACCCAAAGCTGCATCTCTGACCCCGTGCAGGTCTCAAAACAACCCTTGACTTCAAAGTATGGACCAGTCCATGGATCTGATGTCCTGGGCAGCGCAGGCAAGAAGTGGGGATGTAGAGCTGAGGGACAGGGCCCCTCAGCTTAGACACACTTGGCTTGGGTTTTGTGTCAGAAACTTCTGTGTCAAGGAACATCTCCTTCACTGTTTGCAAAAGAATGATGATCACCAAGGGGCTTTCCAAAAAGCAAGCATGACACTTGAAAAGGTATGAGCCACAGGATGGGTTTGGACATAGACTTTGGGAGCAGATAACTGGTTTCAGACATTCTCTAATCCACACCTAAATATCATATACTAAAAAGAGTTTTTAATAGTGCCTTTAGTACACCAGCTAATCAAACAAATCTCAAAATATTTTCTTTCTATTTTACATTTTTACATAAAGCTGAAGTGTTTACACCTTTATGAAGAAGACCTAACTAACTGTCAAAGCAGATTAAACCACATTTAAGAGCAACTTACCCAATTAGTTTCATGAAGACCATCACACATGTAAAGCCAAAAGGTAATGAAATCTTGAAAAGGACATAACAACTTGAATGAAAGCAGAAGAGAAGTTTTAACAACCTTTTTGTCCATACAAGAGCTTTTCATTTCTTAAAGAAGAGAACAATTAATGTTCACTGAATGACTTTTTTTTGGCCATTCAAGCTTAGTGACCTCAAAATGAGCAAATTTTCCTAAGTTGTCATGTTGTAATTACTATTGTAACTCTAATGAGTTAAAAGGATATACAAATCACCTACATCTAAACAGAGTTCTGCACATTATAGACTAAACTGCTTAACTTACAAATAATCATTTTGTTGTTTCCAGTTTACAATGGTTTAAAAAAAAAAAAGACTTCACAATGTGTGTAAACGGGAGGTAAATGTATTTTTAAAACCAGAATAGAAAGCTGCATGTTAAAAATGGGATCATAGACTAATAAATACATACATCAAAGACATGAATTTCTCAGCAGCTGGTTTTAAAGAGCAAGGAAGTGGGGAAAACTACTTGTCCAGACTTCATTCTGGCCCAGTGGTCTAGCTACATGCTAGCAACATCTAGCATGTATGATGATGTAGATGATGCTAGCAACATCTGCAATTCAAAAACAACTTAAAAGAGGAGAAGAATCATCTTTGTTGCCTATTTTCCTCTTACAAAATTAAGCTACTTCTTACAAGTGTGGTGTAAAATCTAAATAAATATTTATTTCTTCATGCACTTGATGACATCAAATTAAAAAAGCAATTATTTTAACCCAGAAAAAATGAGTCATTGTATACTGTAAGGACAAACAGCCTTACTGCAGATTTTCTACAGTAAAAGTATTTCTAGAAATACACCAGAAATTACTTTCTCATAACAAAATACACAATTATGTGTCAGATTATCATTGAGTTTCAATACTTAGGCAAAACCAAAACAGTTACTACCAAGTTTTGAAAAAGAAAAAACAGTAAAAAGATGTTTTAACAGGTATGGAGATGCCAGAAAGCAATGCTGGACACCAGGATTTCCAAAGTGACTCCCCTTCCAAACTGACGTGCAGACTGTGAATTAGACTGTGAGTGAAAACTGATCCTGTTCTATGGGTTTCTCCACCCATACTCCAAGTCCTGCCTTCAGGAATGCTTTAAATAAACACTCTTTGGCAGTTTGATACTCAGTGGCTCCTTGCTTGGTTTCATGATACAGGTTAGGCTTGAAGATCTTCAAGCACAAGCTGGACGAAAGCTGTGCAGATGAAAGAGACAAGAAAAAAGAGAGCAAATGATTTATTCAGACCAACATTTGCAAAGCAACTGAGTTATTAAAATAGCAATTAGAAAAGGTAATGAACTACTCAACCAAATGTACAGGCAAAGGCAACAAGCCAAAAGCACAATATAAATTCCAGCCATTCTAGCTCTGTATTCAGTTTCACTGCAACTATCCACACTTCTCCTCTTGCAAGCCATGCCCTCCTGTAGAACCAAACCACATACAGAGACAAGCAATCTTTGGACTTCACTTTTCAGCAGTGCTGTGGTAGCTCCACTACACTTAGCATGCCTTTAGCTTCTTCTGGATTACCTCTGTCCTTTGGCAGAGAAAATCTAGACACTGAAAAGCAGCTTGTGTATACTATTTGGCTCTTTTCTTTCTAAAGACAGAGTGAAATTTCTATAGGCTGGGTTTCAGCGCAACTGGGATTATATTTCCAAAGAAATTAAAATGAGAAGGCAAAAATAAAGGAGGTAAGAGCTTTTGCTTACTGAGCTATAACCAAGGATTATCAGACCCTCACATGCATTTTGTACCAGGCGTTATACAACTGAATAACCTACATGAATGTGTTATTTTCCATTACGGTGCGGACTGGTAGCTAATGTCAGGCTCAGCTTAAGACAGGTGCAAAAAATAGCTTCTGAACACAGAAAGATACACATGGAAATGCCATAAAGAATAAACTGGAAGTGAAAAATGTTCCATGCTGGAATATATACCTTTGCATGAACATGCATCCAGCGGCTGTACAAAGCATGCTTACAGAGGCGAGATGCACGCCCCATTTCATCTTTGCCAGTTGTAGCATTAATAACTTCAAGACCACTGTCTCCCACTGTCCAATTTACACTGAAATTTGGTGCTTTCCCTGGTTGGCGTGCTTCTGCATTGCTAATACCTGAAAGAAGAGAAAATTAATGACAACAATAAACACTAACTGCTGATCGTTCTTCTTACTAGGCTACTGAAATCACGCCACAAGCAATTCTTCCTTATGGGGACATTCTCCTGCAGATTTTTCACCAAATCATGGAAATACTGCCATGTATATTTAATTCTCATCGTGATTAAAAATCCCCTCTCACTCTGTCATTCCTAGCTCAGCAGGTAAGCATTGGGGGGAGAAACAAGAAACCAGCTTTCTCACTGGAGGATTACGTAGAAGACTGTAGTAGAGCTCCATGTGGACAGTGATATTAGCACCTTGCCATGTTAGCCTATCTTTGGCTGGGATAGAATTAATTTTCTTCAGAGCATCTGGCACTGTGATGTGTTTGGAACACAGGATGAAAATGACATTGATAATACACCAACGCCGGGAGCATTGCTGCGCCAAATCAAGGACAGTTCTGCTTCTGACACTGTTCTGCTAGTGAGGAGGCCAGGAGGCACAAGGAACAAAACAGGACAAAACCAGGAGCTGATCTAAGCTGGCCAAAGGGATATTCCATACCAAGGGTGCCTTGCTCAGCAATAAAAGCTGCAGAAGCTGGCCACAGGAGCTGCCTTCACTCTGTGTCCAGCAGGGCATTGGTCAGCTGCTGGTGAGCAGCCTTCCTCACCTTTTTTTTTTTTTTTTTTCTTCTTAATTTCAAGTTATTATTTCTTTCACATTAAACTGTCCTTTTCTCAGCCCAGGAATTCTCCCACGTTTATCTTTCTCAATTCTCTTTTCCACCCTACTGAGGGGGAGTGAGCGAGCCGCCAGGTGGTACTTAGCAGCTTGCTGGGTTAAATGACAACACGCAAATCAGGAATATCTGGTCTGGTTTACAGGGCAAACCAATTCATGAGTTATTGACCTGCAAATAACTATGAAGACGAAATGCTGTTGGAGTACTGCACAGGGTAATCGTTGCCCTCAAAGCCCACTCACTAGCAACACTAGCAGAGTTCCGGACGGCGCAGATCCAGCAAAGCTTCCCTAGCTGTAACTGTCCCATCAATTCCCTTTCACTCTGCTGCTCTAAGAGTTCAAGTAGCTAAATGTATGGTTCCCTATGTCTGCACTTTAAAACCAGTGCAGAATGATGAACCCTCATCATGTCTCAGCACAAACAATTAGAGTTCAGCTAACAGGTTGTAACTGCAATCTTATTTAAAGCAGTCAATCCTATTTAGAAGTGTTTTTTCACTTTCCCTCGTAAAAAAATGGAGTTAGATCAGAGCAGTAGTGTGAGATGACAGAATGTCTTGCAAACTAAGGCATGAAGGCATCCACATTTCAGTAGCTGTAGAGTATGTTTCAATAGAGTTACCATTATTTCTACATAAATACGACTGCCTTCAAAGGTAGTGCAGTGCTGCTTCCATAAATGTTTTACATGTTCAAATGCAAGACTTAGTGCCTGAAAGACAAACTGGGAACCAGTAACACTTCAGTTTTACTCCCTCCTTATAGCTGTGAGAAGAGGAATGACCTTCAGAGCGGGGTCTGACCTCACTCTGGTTCTCATCAGCAGAGGATGTCTCGCCTGAGAGCACTTCCTTCCTACCAACTGCACGGGGGCATGGTGCAACTAGCACACACATAGTGCTTGGGCATCCAAGTTAGACAGAGTAAGCCCCAAGCTCAGCATCCTATGCAGAAAGTCAAAACCAGCAGACACTTGACTCTTTTCTCACAAATCCAGCTGTGCTTTAGCTGCCTCTCCACTTCACATGCTCATTACTGCTGAAGATGCCCAGAAACAGCAATTGAAGGACTCCAATGTCACAGCCCATTTTCTGCATGTCTCAGGAATGCTCTCAACACGTCCCCAGTGCTCTCAGGCAGCACCCATGGCCACCAGCACAGCGAGTGGTTTAAGTTTCACTGAAGTTTAAGCACTGTGGAATGGCTGTGCAGCACGGTAGCCTCACACACATTACAGGGGTGGTGAAACTTCATATGTCTCAATTTTTCATGAGGAGGGGAGGAGAAAGGGACCGGAGACAGGGGTGTTTTTTTCTTTTTCTGATAAATAAGAATCCCATTTTTACTTTAATATAACTCTTTGAAAGTTTATTTTGTATCTAGTCTGAGTCTCTGCTAGGACTTACATCTAAAATAATCTAGTAAATTTGTATGAATTCAACATTAGCATTGCGGCAAGATGTGTTTTTTGAAATACAACCTAACAAAGTTAAGTCAGCCTAAAGCAGATAAGCACAGGACTCTTTTATTGGCCCTTAAAGCACTTAAAGGTCTTAAAGCACTTCTGGGTCCCGCACCCACTTGTAGGATGCAAAGATGAGAGTATGTGAGAGCTGTGAGGTCCTAGATGCAAAATTACAAAGCAAAATTCAGATAACCAGTTCCTCACTTACTAAATGAACATTTTGAAATATTGAATTTTCTGATGCTGACGTGTTTTTATGCTTGGCTTATTTCGACCTTGTCGCTGTCAGTCACTGACAGACAGTATGCCAAGGAAATAATAAACAGTCCCACCATTCCACATTTGCTTAAAATAGGAGTTGAAAAAATGGAATTGGAATGACAGTTTCCTTTATTTTTATTTTCCATTTTCTTTCAGGTGAGATTGTCACAACTTCTGCTGTTCATTATGAATGGTTGCCAAAAAATCCATGCATTGAGTGGCATGAAAACTGGAGTGGATCATGCACAACTGCTTCTGTGCCACTAAAGACCAAACACTGCAGAGCAAACAAACCCTACCACTCCACAGGTCACATAATAGAAGGTCTACACATAAAAGAACTATTAATTGAGAGCAGAAACAAAAAGAATCTAAACTCTGACTCTCCATATGCATGTAAATTCAGGCTTGTTTTATGAAGCTGATGTGAAACAGTCACTTGCTTAAGGCAGCACATACTGGAGAACTTATCAAACCTATTGAGGCAAGAATAGGCATGGCTACCACATGAGAAATGAGTCCATCACATTTTTAATTTAACTTAAAAATATCTGTGCTATTACTTTTTCTTGTTTCACGTGCCACTGAACAGTATCAGTCAGTATCACAAAAAAGGCCTTTTGCTCCTTTTCTTATTACTGTGAAAAAGCAATATTTCCATTTAAAAAACAAAATTCTGCCCTACATTATCCTTTAGTGAGTGATTCCCTCCCCAGACCAACACGTCCAGAGTGTGAGCAATTCTTTCAGCAAACACTGGAGACAATTTACATTTCTCTACTGCCTTGCTCATGCAGTGGAGGCTGTATAGAAGCGACTTTCAAATAAAGATGGCATTGAATATAACATCCAGAATGCAGTGTATTTCAGCAGCAGTTACACAACTGCATTTCTTAGGTCATTTTGATGTCATAACAAACAAAAATGACTCTGAATTTCAAGTACACTTAAATGACACCTTGGTAAGCAGCACTTATCTGCATGAACCGTGGAAAAATGCCAAAGGAGTCTCTGCAGGCAGATCACAGGCAGCATGAACAGGAAACTAAGGTTGCAAAAGCAAAGCATCTGACAGTCATTTAGGTAGATCATCTCTCTCAAGAGCTAGACATGAACGCAACACAATTAACTGAGACTAGTAATGGGGGGGAAAGATAGGATAGAAAGTAGAGTGTTTCATTCTCCTTTGAAAAGTGTTACAACTACAATATTTTAGAGAACATCACTCTGAACTTCTTGGATATTCTTATAACCAGGTCTAATAAGCAAAATCAAAGGTCACCACTTCTTTGGGCCAGCATGTACATACTAGCAAAGCCTGACAGAGCTCGCAGCAAGTTTCATCCAAAGGAGGTAAGGGGCTAAAAATACCAAAGTGGAAGAGATGATAAGTGCCAGGAAACTCCAAAAATCACCAAAGAGTCTGCTGAAAGATTTTTTTTTCTTTTTTTTTTGTAAAAAGCAAACGAGCTAATTCAATAAAATTAAAAAGCAAACATAGTAGTCATTCAGAGAGCTGCTGAAGCATGAATATTTAAAATCTTCAGAAATTCCTTCCATGCTTGTCAACATCTTATTGAATACAAAATATGAATTGAGTTTTTGCATCTAGACTCTCTGCAAAAGAGCATAGGTACATTCACAGATTGGAGCTTATCTTCAAGGCAGATGAAATTAACTAAAGATAAATAACTGGTAATACATATGAGGAATTTCCTGCACTCTCAGCTGGAAAACTGCTGCTCTGATATGTATGCTTCCAATTAACTTGATGGGGAAAGGATGTATAACTAGAAAATCTCCTATGAAGAAAGAAAGAACATTTGATGGAAAGATTATTTTTACCAGTAGAGTAGGTAACTTCATCTTAACGCAACTGTCCCTGCAGACACAAAAGTTATCTTGTAAGAGATTAAAAAACAGCTCTTAGAATGTTTTCTCAGCTAAATATTTCTATTTAAATATTTCGGGAGACAGTGGGGAAAGACAGAATGCCATAACTGAACAGCTATTTATTTTTTAGTTGACTACATTATCAAAAACAAGTAATGATCCCACGATGGTGCAAATAAGGGAGAGAATGAAATTTGGGAGAGCTACTCCTGCTGTGCTTATTTCCATGTAAGAGTACACTGTGAAATAAGTGAGTCAAACAGTAGATGTGTAGCTACACCTAGGCCCCAGTTGAATCCAACATCACAGATGAGAAAACTAGCTTTCAAGACTAATCCAGCGCAAGAAAATCCATCAGACTAATTCTTGTGAGTGTCTCCTCTCAAGCAAGGCTCCTGTGCATTTTGAGATATGCATTTTCATGAAACTCAATAGCTGAGAACACTTCTGAATTCTCTCTACTGCCCAGTGAGTTCTGGCTGAGCTGTTTAAACAGATGATGCTGTGTCATGACAGACAGTCATCTAACACTATTTCAGAACAAAAGGTTTGTACAAAGCCAAGGTGCCCTGCTCCAAATTTGCTGTCTTGAAGATTTCTTAAAATTCCCAGACATCAGATATCAGCAACACTCCACACATCAGCTATTAGGTCAATATAACAATAGAATATTTGGAACTGTGCACGTTGTCTCTATTACTTACTTGCTACTATAAGGATTTACATGTCACTTAAAATTATAGTACGTTTTGGTCCAGGGAATCCTTACAAAATAAATTAAATACATAACAAGCTCTCTATGTTCATTTTTAAAATGTCATGTTTAAAATGTTCATGTTTAAAATGTCAAACTTCAAACATGCTTTCAAATACTAGTTGTTTTTTTGTGTTTTTTTTTTAACTTTTTTTTCCTAGAAAATAAACAGACGTGAAAAAAGCCTGGCTCTACAGAACAACGCAACACACAAAACGACAGGAAGTATAACAGATCTCAGTTTTAAAGCTTTCACAACATTAGTGTAATGCTTTTTTTTTTAGATTTTTAGATTTTTTAGATTATTTTAGATTTTAAGACACTTTAGAACTTCACTTTTAACTTACTTAAATTATTATTTTATTAAATTAGTTCAAATACTCTCAGCACCACTAGAGTCTAGGATCTGTGTGGTGCTAAAGAATAATGCTTGAAGTTTCAACAGCAGCTGCTGGTTACTTGGCAGGGTTGGCTGTTTGGCTGTTCTGCTGTCTGTCAGCTAATACTTAAAAAGGTATAAAAATATTTCTCCAGGACATTCCAGCAGGCTCTAAATGCAGCATTTGTGCATTAACTATGAAGTGAAAATAAAAATATTGTGACAACTAGGTCATGCAAACAAGTTGGGTGTCGTGCTAACTAAAACTAATTCTGCAACCAACAGAGATGGATAAGAAAATAAAATACAATCAGCGACATCTGAGATTGTCTCTTCATCCACTTTCAGTTGGGTATTGGCCTAAAGATTGTGAGCCAAATGTTTTCATCTTGGAAGACTGATAAATGACGTAGCTATTCAATAAATACCTGCAATTGTAAGAGAAGTGAAAATGAGAGCTAATGCACTATCCATAGATGACAAGAGGTTTCATTAAGCCAGGGCCTTCAACTTGCCTCACCTGTTGCTAGGGTACACTCCAGATGGCAATTAGGTGAAAGTGCCTTCAGTTCATACCCTGGCTTTTTTGGCATCTTTTAACTCACCACGGGTTCTTGCTATGGTATCTCTGTCTGTGTATCCCTGCTAGGCTTACACTGTATCTTCTGCTTTGTAACCAGAAACCAATTTACTCACAAGACATACTTCCAACGTTTTGAAAAACTGCAAAATCACAATGGTACTGGAACAGACTTAGTTACCGGTACGGCTCTCTCCATTAGATACATGCCACTAAGTAAAGGTCTGTTGAGTGTATAAAGTGGTGGTAGATCTTCTATCTCTGCTATCCTCTGGTATACGGCTCTGGATAGAGCAGCCTTTTGCGGCACAGAAGTTCCTTCAGACAGTCACTGAGCACTTTGTTGCTCTACCAACAATTCCGAACCCACAGCACCTCAAAGCCCTTTCAAGATCCCCCAGCTACTGTCCTGAGCTCTCCAGGTCTCCCTGCTGCCCCTTAAAAACCTCAGGATGCCAGCAGCACCTCGTGCCTTAGGATGCCCGCTGGATTTCACAATGATGCACTCATCTCCTGCATCGTGATCACTGGCAAAAATATCCAACGGCGCTGACCCGAGCCGGGGGCTCAGTAGTGACAAACCTGCTGCACTGCAGAGTGTGCTCAGTGCCTCCGGTCCCTCTGCTGGGCACCGCCGGGCGCAGCCCGGCTCCGACCTCTCCGCGCCTCCCTGCACGGACCGATGGCCGCGCCCCGGATCCCCCTGAGCCTCCTCTTCTGCAGGCTGAGCCGTCCTAGCTCTCCCGGAATCCCACCCCAAGCATTTCCCGCGCGGTGCCGAAGAGGGGAGGGGATGCGGGGGAGGAACGGGGCCGACGGTCGCAGTGCTACGACACGGCCGTTTGCGCCGCCACGTCCTTACCCTGCGGTGGGCACGGGGACGGGATGGCTTACCGAAGCTGCAGAAACGACCGCGGGCAGAAGCGCCGAAAAACGAATGGAAAACGTTTAATCGACGAACGCACAGAGCGACAGAGAACCGACGGCGTTCCCAACCGGCTCCCGTCCGAATGGCGACTCCGGAGGACGGCTCGGTGCCGACGAGGGACGGATGGGCCCCCGCGCCGCCTTCCCCTGAGCGCCCGGCGTCCCCAAGGCACGGGGCAGCGGGGACGCGCGGCGGCGGAGCACCACTTTCCCCGCACGGAGCCCCACGGCTCCGCCGACACCATCGCCGGGGCCCCGAGGCTGCGGCCGCCATTGGCGGAGATCCCGCGCTCGGCCCCGCCTCCTCCGCGCCGTTATTGGTCGGCCCGCGGAACGGGGCGGGGCGGTGCCCGTGGGGTCCTTTAGTTCCGATGTCTCGCCGTCGTTGCGTCATCACCGCGCGCGTCCCCGTTGGCCCCTGCTCGGCTGCCCGCGGCGATATCTGTCGCCGCGCGCCCGCTCCGCTTCCGGGGCGGCCGGACCCCGGCCAGGGCTACGGGAGGAGGAGGACGGGGACGCGAGGGAGCCACGGCGAGGCCGAGCCCGTGCCCGTGCCCGTGCCCGTGCCCGTGCCCGTGCCCGTGCCCGTGCCCGTGCCGCCGCGCTCGGTGCGGTCCTTCCTGGAGAGCGGCGAGCACGGGCTGCATCCGTGCCGCCAGGAAAGCGCCGACGGGGGGGGCGCGGCGGTGTTCAGGGCGGGATGAAGCGTGTTTCTTTGTGCCTCCACCGCTGTTTCTGGAGCGACAAATGACTTCGGGTTCGGCTGCTGATGATTTGAGCAAAGCAAGAACCAAAGGCGCACGTCTGACTGCCAGGCTCCAACACGCCTCGATCCATGGGATCAGCGCCCCTCCTTCGGGGCTGCCCGGCTCAGCCAGGAGCTGCTCCTGGTCACCAGGCGGGTCACAGAACCGAAGGGGTTGGAAGAGATCTCCAGAGGTCATCGAGTCCAACCCCCTGCCAAAGCTGTTCCTACTCCAGGTCACATAAGTTGGTGTCCAGGCAGGTCTTGAACATCTCCAGAGAAGGAGACTTCACAACCCCTCTGGGCAGCCTGTTCCAGTGCTCCATCACCTCACCTAAAGAAGTTCATGTGCCCATTTGTGCAGAACATCCTATGCTGCAGTTCCTGGCCGTTTCCCCTCATCCTGTCTCCACACACTGCAGAAAAGAGTCTGGCCTCTCCTCTCTGCCCCCCACACCTTAGATATCATAGACCTGGATCAGGTCCCCTCTCAGTGATCTTTTCTCAAGGCTAAACAGACCCAGTGCACTCAGCCTTTCTTCATAGGAGAGATGCTCCAGGCCCTTCACCATCTTCATAGCCCTCTGCTGGACTCTTTCCAAGAGATCCCTGTCTGTTTTGTACTGGGGAGCCCAGAACTGGACGCAGTACTCCAGATGAGGTCTTACCAGGGCAGAGCAGAGGGGGAGGATCACCTCCTTTGACCTGCTGGCCACGCTCTTTTTAATGCACCTCAGAACGCCATTGGCCTTTTTGGCCACAAGGGCACACTGCTGGCTCATGGCCAACCTGTCGTCCACCAGGACGCCCAGGTCCCTCTCCGCAGAGCTCCTCTCCAGCAGCTCATCCCCAGCCTGTATCGGTGCATGCAATTATTCCTCCCTAATAATCACGGTCAGCCGCCGCTTCTCACAGCCTGGCACCTCCCTGCATTCCCTATCATGCGCAGCCTCTGGGAAAATCAAACAGTACAGTGGACTGTGAACAGCTACACTGAGAGCAATGGGTGCTGAGACATTCAAATGTTGGGACCCACGTGTAGGGAAAGCCGCCTGGGCAGTCAATACTCGGGGATCTGCCCACCGTGCTGGTCCTGCCCAATCAAACCTCCCACACACTGCAGAAGTAAAATGAAAAAGTGGCACCCAATGACATTCACTGACCGTTGCTGAACATTTCTGGAGACGAAACAGTGGATGTGAGCACAGTGGGGCCATGAGTGTTGCGTTTCATCATTGGTGACAGAGACAGTGGGTCATACTCCAGTGCAGATTGTTACGAGCTGGTGAAAATGCAAAGCTGATATCAGTGGCTGTGTCAAGAAACAGCATTTGGTAGCTGAGAATTTGCTATATCAAACATTGTTATTGGTCTCTCTGTATCTGTTGTAGTTTCCACGGGAATAAGTAGGCGGCCTTACTTCCTCCAAACAGGAACCTTCCTAAACAGAAAAAGTCCTCTGAACATCTGTGAGTCTCTTCGTCACTTCCTTTTCCAACTTGTTTTCCTATGATTATTGTTCTAGAAAAGCTTCCTGCCAGTTGACATCCTGAACCCCATGACCTGTATCAGCAGGAAAGACAGGATAGGGTCATGCATCTCACTTGGCGCCTGCTGTGTTGCATGCTCTGGAAAACTTTCCAGTTTGTACACTGGACCTATCAATTCTGTTTGTTAGCATCCCAACGCCAGGAGATACAGAACCTTAGAATCAGAATCATGGGATCATAGAATGGCCAGGGTTGGAAGGGGCCTCAAAGATCATCGAGGTGAAGTTTTTCATCTGGCAGGATGCCTAAATCCTTCTCAGCAGGGCTGCTCTCAATGAATTCTTCTCCCAATCTGTACATATATCTGGGATTGCCCCAACCCAGGTGCAACACCCTACACTTGACCTTACTGAATCTCATTAGGTTCACATGCTCCCTCCCAGATGAAGATTTTGAACAGTTTTGTGAAGAAATGAAAGAACCTTGAAAGCAACAAGAGTTCTTCAGGTTGGAGTTAGGAAAAACTTCTCCAGAAGAGTGGGTGGGCACTGGGACAGACTGCCCAGGGAGGGACTGGAGTCAGATTCCCTGGAGATGTTCAGGAAACGTTTAAGTGTGGTACTGAGAGACAAGTTATGAGGAACATGTTTCTTTAGAATTGTTTCAGAATGTCATTTCACTTAATTATGAACTAGGCAAGAGGGTGTAGAATGAACAAAGGCAAAACAGAGGCTACAGGGAGGGATGTTTGGGGGGGTGAGCTGAGGAATGCGGTCTTCTCTCACACCAGGCACTCATGCTCACGTATTGGTTCAGACTGTGACTTAGGAATTGCACTGCAAACTGCAAGTCACAGTAACTCAGCAACTGGGGTGGGTAATATGATAGTAACTTCTTGGAACTGAAAGGTGAGATGGGCCCCAGAGGTGAAAGTAAAAAGGCAAGAAGGCTTCACAGTGACTGAGAATAAGGGGAGTGAAGGGGAATAGTTAGAGATAGTTTATAGAAGCAGGAATGTAGAGCTTGTTAGAAAATAAGGGATGGCAGACACTGTGTCTGGGATAGTGAGGGGAATGATGGCCATAAAGATAAGGGCTTGAGAACAGCCTGAGGACATTTGGCAGGGAGGTGATCAGATGTCCA